CCATCATGCATTTATAATTTTAATTTTAATTTAATTAATTTGAAATAAATAAATAAATAAATATATATATATATATATATATAACTAATACCCTTTAAACATCTACATGTTTTAATATTGACTTAAATAGGATTTAAAGTAAAAAATACAAAACCTAAAGGGACAACAGCAGCAGCTCACTGGCATTTCTGTCTTTACTTTCTATTATTGGAAGCATATTCTGAGGTATCCTCTCTGCAAGAGGACCTCATTTACTTTAAACTACAGTAAGCAGTGGCCTCTGGCGACTTGGAGATGTATGGGGACATAAAATCGATGTGAAAATACCATTTTAAACCATGAGATGTTTGTGTATCTTCCCTGCTAGCAGGAGAAGCAGTTGGCAGTCTGAATAGTTAGCACAAGTTACAACAGCCACCATGGTGGAACAGGTCAAAGAAAATAGTGCCAGCCATATGAATTCATAAAGTAAAGAATACATTCCACACTTCTACAGAAAAGATGGTGGGAATTCTCCCTTTTACTGATTAATTGTTTGCAAAACATTTTATTAACCAACGTTTTATTAAGGGAAGAATTGTTCCTCAATTGCTAAGCTGTGTTAAAGTTGTTTTACTCCAGTGAGCACAGAGTCTTTTCAAGAATTTAAATAAAAAAGCAAATCAGGGCAATCAAGTGCCTAGCAAAATAAGCACCAGAAGTAATTTAAATCAAATTAAACACTCAATAAAATGCTCCTTTAATGTGTTAAGTAAGAGACTGCACTCACTTCTGTTCAGATCTGGACACTGTGAGATGTAACCCTGTGGCATCACCAGGATCTCCACGTCCTGCATCACTCCCTGCACACACAGACACACCAAACTTTTCAATCAAGAACAATAGCACCTAACAGAAGGCAATAAAATGAGATGAAGCATGTTAATGTGTACTAAGTGGGTAAGGACCCAGAGGGGCGGCGGTGTCTAAGTGTGCTAACTGTACATTTTCCACATGAGATAACATGCAACCCAAGCGTCTGCAGGACATGCAAACACAAAACCAAAAGCCCTGTTTATGACAGCTTTGGTAAATGATGCAATCATAAAACTGAACACAGTGAAACAGCAATAAATCAAAGAGAGAGAGAGAGAGTGCAAATGACAGAGAAGTTAGTTGGGAAATAATATATGTCCTAGGTTGTCGCTCGGATGAATGATCTCATAACCAAACACGAATAGGAAGTTTATTCAACCAATGATGATGATGTGGGAGTTTTAGTAGGTAGATAGAATTTTTATTTTTCCTTCCAACCTCCTCTTATAAGCATAAACAGGAGATACAGATTCAATTTGATATCATAAGACCCAATTGATAGCTACTTTCGTTCTGTGGCCCAAACACACACACACAAAGACACATGCATATACATACATATACAAGAACACTCTGTCGCCATGGTAACCTGGCCTATTTCATTCCTTGAGTGCATGTATTTCCCTTACAGACGTGGAGGGGTGCAACTTAGGAGAAATTGTTTTTAAATTGTCTTGCCACTTCAATTTACCGGCCATAAATTTAAAATCCTGTGGAAATTATTTGCTGATTTTTTATGGCAAGGCACTATAATGGAAGCAGATGGAGTTGTGTCTATCAAACTGAAACCGTAAAACTATACATTTATCCGCAGTCAGAGTACACATTGTTCATATGCATCTACTGTAAACTTCATCTGTACTCTGAAAAATTATCGGCTATTACTACCTATGGTTTTTTGAGTGTGTAGTTAAGTAGCGGTGAAAAAAGAGCGTCTTTAACTTCAGTAATGTTACATATGTCCCAATGCAACGGAATATGTGGGTGGGGTTGTGTTACAAGAGGGATTTACAGTTAGCTCCAGAAATATTTAGACAGTGACACAATTTTCCTAATTTTGGCTTTGCAGGCTATGACTGCCTGAAGGCTGGAACCCATGAACATCACCAAATGCTGGAAGTAGAGAAGAAGCAACTGAACAATTAACAATGTATTTTTCATTTCACTGCGTCTTTAAGCAGAGTCAACTTGCTACACTTTTCTTTGCACCTTGGAGCAACAAACAAAGCAAAAAACTCTGTTTACTGCAGTATGCATGCAGTAACATGTCGGACATTGACGGCTGCCCCATCTGTACTGGAAATGTGAATTTGTGAAAGGCAAGAAGTAGCAGAATGAGGGCTGAATCACTGAGGATGCTGGGAAAGTACTAACAGTAATTTTCTACAAAATGCAAACAATCATCAGAAAATATATCCCGCCAGGCTAAAAAAAATAACTCCAGAATGAAATCTGGCTGTGAAATAAAATCTGATTTGCAAATTTCAACAGTTGCGGTTTCTTGTTGCATTTGGGATTACCTGAATTAAAAGTAAATTGTTTGATCAGCATACAAATCAACCACAAGTGATACACCGCTGATGGAATTGAAAAACTGTGACACTAGATAGGCACGATAAAATAGATTTAGCAATCTTACGATGTGCGTAGACTGTAAAAAAAATAAAAATAAAAAGGACCTTATTGAGTTGTGAAGCAGACGTGCAGATACGCTCATTCTGATTCAAGCCTTCACTATTACTGTTAGGGATGTGATTCTCCCGTCTTCAGCTGACACGCGCATCCAGACATTGACTGTGTGAATGTGTGGGAGTGCGTGTGTACTAATGAAGCAGTGTATTTTAACAGGAGACGTGCCTTCCTAGCAACTAATCAAGGCTTCAGAGAGTGGCGAGGAGAGATGCTGCTGCGTGACAAGATTAGTGGGTGACCTCCAAGGCTTCTTTCATCTACCAATTAACACAGAGGAAATTCAACAGCCTGGACACAATGTGTAAAAGCATTAACACACACACACGCAGGTACACACAAATATAACCACACCATCAAACACAGAGTCAGTCACCAGCAGACTGATTAAAATAGTTATAGTTGCTGGTGAGCTGACATTTTGCCCCAAGTGTTCTCCCCAGGTGGGAAATCTTGGAGTGCAGTCCAGTCTGGGAGAGACAATATATGTCTCCCTGTCTGATAAACAAGACTATAGACTAAGCTTAATGAGCATAGTCCAGAGGCTATTTAATGATTTCTCCCAAATCAGTGTTGTGGGGGTTGCTGAGATAATTGCACTGGGCTTAGCTGCAGACTAAGGGAAAGGGAACAATGACACAAAAAAAAGTCAATTCCTATGGTAGGCAGAGCAACCCTCAAATTAAAATGGTAAGCCTTGAGAAATGCACGCAATTAAATCCAACAGCTATAATAAATAAAACCAAACAAGCCAAACAAAGAGGGAGAAGATACAGCATAAACCAAAATTGAATATGGAGTGAAAAACTGAGATGCATTATTTGTTTATGCCATTGAAAATAATTTATCTCATATTAGGACAGGCATTAGCATTCATGCAGAGAGCCAGTGCTAACCTTGAAGAAGCCATGAGCAGCGTTTCTCTGTCCAAGCCAGAAAGAAGCATCTTCAGGTATGTCCATGTAGGGGGCTTCCACAACCCGTTCATAGATCCTGCAAAGCAAGTAGAGAATGGTCACTGCATCTTCCGTTCATGATTTTCAAAGCTTTTTTTTTCGCCTATTTTACCCAGTTAAATTCCCCCCATTCACTGCAGGTGGTGGCCTGTTAAATCCTTCAGTTAACTCTTTCCCTTAGGAGGGTAAAGATAGCCACATGCTTTCTGTGACACACATGGCGTTGCCGTCTGTTTCTTTTATTGTGCCAGAGAGGATCTTCACACTCAAACAGTAACACCCCTTTCATACAGCAGATGCACATATGATCTGGATCAGCTCAAGGTGCATTCAACCTGCATTGGACCAATTGATATGAGACAGCTGACTGAGGTTAAGGAGACTCCCGTCCGTGGTGTAGTTCCAAACACTTGCTTAACCACAGAATTACACTGAATAATTGACAAATCAGTTTCACCTATTTCTTTAAGTCCGTACTCTTCTTTTCTCTCTCTCTCTCTCTTTCTCTCTCTCTCTCTCCTTTCGGCAATTGGTTAAATCGTTTTTAAACGTCGCTATAAAAAAAGATTTTTCCATTCCTGATTAAAAGGCCAGGTAGCAGGTAGCATTAAACCCTGATTAAGAGGAGGGTAGTGAAGGGGGGTTGTATGATGCAAATTGCCCCATTATGATTGATCACTTATACAGTTTTGACTAACGTCACTGTGTTGGTGGAAACGAGATATACAAAACAAGAATGTGATCTCTCAGTGGATTCACAATTGTGTTCAATGATGCACCAGGCCCACCCAATCCCAGCAGGGTTATAGCCACCATTGTTGTACTTTATGGTAGTTTCAAAATTGAAAGTGTGCACTTTAACCAAAATAATTTCACTTTGGCATTCTTTGTGTGTACTTTATGCAATGGTCAAAACCCTTTTTTAGCATCTATATAAATCTTCTACTGTTTTGTTCCACAACAATGACAGAATAGGAGTGTTGTACATGAGTGCCCATCTACTGCAGTAGTATAGTGTTTCCTGCTGAAACCTTTCCATATACCACTTTGTAGATTTTTTCTTCAAGGACACTTTCACGAAATTACAAAAAAAGAGATGCTACGCGACAGCCTCAGATGATAATTTAAAATGAGGATGCCCCGATCCGCTGATTTTTTTCTCTAACAATTCCAATACCCCAACTCAGGTAATGACTGTTTTCCGAAATGTAATATCTGGTACAACCCACTGTGTGGAACTCATTGGAATAATTTTCATGTAAGGTAACATAAGGGGGGATATTGCTGTGGTAAAACAATAAGCAACTCAATGAATGTAACTGAATATCATAGTGCTATTGACAAAAAAATGAACTAAAGGAATTAACTGACTTTAATGTGGATTTATCACATCATGGCCAATACCCGATCCACTTAATAAAGTCAGTATCTGGGCTGATATCAGTGTATTATGTGGGATTAGAGCTGCAGTTTCTGAATAGCCTCCCTTGTCATACACATCTGTATTCTCCCATACTACAACACAAATGGCGTTAATTTCATATTTTACTGTCACATCTAATATAGACATCCTCAGCATCTTACCTGTTGCAGTCGACATGTAGTATGACATGAGAGGCACTGACGGCCACAGAGACTTTGTGCCACTGGTCATCAGCCAGGCTGTAAGGGAACACCTCAGTATGGGCCTGCTGGCCTTTGGTACGATAGTGAAGACGCACCTCACTGCGCTGGCCACTGCTCTCCAGCTCCAGGAACCTGCAGAACAAAAGTGCCAGCAACCTGTCTTTAGTAACAGCCACAAAATTACAAGTTTCTCTGAGAATCTGCATTGTGCAGCAGATCTTGTTGCATTTAGGTGTCATTACTCGAACTGAATCCTTATTTCTGTAACCTGCATGCATCACACCAAGTGTCTAAACTTGGGGCTTCTCACACGTCACATTTCCAAGCTGTGCCCTCGCGTCTCCCCCAGATTTGCAACACCATTTAGAACTGAATCACATCATGCTACTATATGGCTGTTAAGTGCAACATCAGCAACACACAACAGTGGCTCAAATGTAGAGCTTCAAATTTTTACATTGGCGTATTAGTATTCTCATAGAATCCTCTTCTCCACTGAGATTCACCCAGCAGAGTGACACTAATAGAAAGAGCTGCTGATGCACACTCATTACCCCTGCCTTTAAGGACAGAGTTATTTAAACTAGAGTCATTTTCTAGAAACATTATTAAAAATAAAAACTAGACACTTGTGTGCATAGTATATCAATGAAATTTATTTATCTGCAAACCCAATCTAATAGATTTACTCTCCCCAAGCCATGCATGCACATTCATCCCGGCACCATAAATGCACTAGCTAACACTTAGAATTAGTCTTTGCCATGTTTCCAAAAGAAACCATGCAGTACTGCTTTGTTGCATATGAATGGCTGGGAAAGCTAATCAGCAGCAGAGAAAGTCATTAACATCCCTGTGAGCGCTCCTCTCAGGACTGAATTTAATGTACAAACTGTTCAATCAATGCATTATGTGGATTCAGATTGCCGTTCTGATCATCCAACGGCTCAGCTACCTCAAACTAATGGAAAACATTAGCATGCTAACTGCAGATAGTGTCTCATCAGTTTTCGATCCACGATTACAGACTCAATGTTTGGATCATTGATGGACTGTGAATAATACGTTGGCATACAGGGTGCTTTGCTTTGTTTACTCAACCAGCGTGTAAAACATCTAAATGCTCATCAAATACAAATATTCAGGTTTCAATCAACATAGACTGCTGATATGACAAAAACAGAGAGTGGTACTAAATTTAGACAACTTTAATTATGGTTTATCAGTGGGGCTTTATAAACAGCTTTATCGTATTCACACACATTTTAGGCTCTTGTTCCATCTCACACTGCTAAAATATGCATCTTAAATGAACTTCACAATTGGTAAGTTTTAAAAAATGTATCTTAGAATGCATTTTGACATTGTACACAACAGAGATTTTAACATGGGATCTCTATGCATTGCTGTTATATAGCTGTTAGTATATACAAATAAGACTAGCATGTGCTACCCTTTTTATTATAAAACATATTTTAAACATATCATTAATGTCAAATATGAACTGATCATACCTGTGCTCAGAGTGATGAATGGAGAGGATGACCCCAGAGTTGAGGTGATCTTGTTTAAGGGTCACCAGAACAGTAAACTCATTCTTGCCTCTCAGCTTCTGGACCATTTGCTCTGAGACCTCAACAGGAGCCATCACTTCCCTGGATGACCCTAGAATGAAGACAGAAATATTTGATCAGATTATTCAAATGGCTGCATTTATGTAGCCCTTTTATTCAAAGCGCAGTACAATTTACCTCTCCTTCACCGTATCACACACACACACACACCCACACACAGAGCTACCAGCAGCGAGCTACCATGCAAGATGCTGCCCTAACCATCAGGAACAATCTGGGGTTCAGCGTCTTGCCTAAGGACAATTCCGCACATAGACATGAGCAGGGCATCAAACTGTCTACCCTGTGATTAGTGGATGACCCGCTCTATCTTCTTATTTCTGGTATGTACACCATGAAGTTGCTCATGGAAATTGTCTTTTATCTGTAACAACATTAACATTAAGAAAATATAACCCAGACCTAACAATGTGCCTTTAATAGGTATGTTTTTATTAATCTTACAAAGACTTTTGCTGAATATACTGAAGGCAGGAAGACACCACTGAAAAGCCAAAGTTATAGCTGTGGATTGCGAATTGTCAATCGGATTAATATGCAATACTCATACACATTACAGCAGATTAAGATTGTGTATTTCACATGTATTAAGTGTTCCAGATTTTTGTGCATGTAAAATCTTTTCTTTATTTAACCCATTAATTTCTGGAATAAAAACTCTACACAACAAAATGTTAATGAAAACTATTTATAGGTCCAGTGGGTAACATTTAGGATCTATTGGGATCTATTGGTAGAAATGGAATATAATACCCATGGGTATGTTTTCATTAGTGTATAATCACCTGAAAATAGGAATTGTGTTTTTGTTATCCTGAATGAGCCGTTCTTATCTACAGACACTGCCACTGTAGTTTCTCCTACACACTTCCCAGCCCATTTTCATTCCCAGGTCGTCAGACACCAGCGATGTTCACTTGGTTACAATCTGCAACTTCACCACTAGAGGCCACTAAATCCTACACACTGGTCCTTTAACTAAGTAATGTCCAAATATGTTGTAATGTAGTAAAGTGAAATGTAGCAGTGACATTTTAGAGACACAAAATATTACACAAAAACAATTGCTGTACGGAAGTACAGAACATTCGGTTGGGATTTTACAGGCCAAAGGTTATAAATATTTGATGTATTCACATAAACTCTTGATGTAGTTAAATTCATAAATGAAAAATCAACACTAAAACCACAAAACATACTGTTTCATAACGTTTCATATTTCCTTTAAAAGAATTATAGCTCTAGTGAATATTTGATATATTGACATGTTTTACAGGTCTAAAAACTGTTTCCAACATAAACTATTTAAACTTTAGGAAGCTGTAAGTCAAACACTTTGTCTAATAAAGGTGCTGAAATAATTTAATCTAAATAATTAAAGTTGGTTGACCATTTTGATCTCAAACCTGTGTTGATAGATTTGAAGCTTAAGTGGTTTGACTTGCTTGACTTGTCATTCTCTTGGTAAAATACTTAGACAGCAACTTAGTGCTAACCAATATTATACCAAACACATGTTTCTATCAGTTATACCGAAAATCGAATCAGTGGATCAAACACTTTCTCCTTGGCTTTGTGTAGGACTACACATATGAAGCTGGATTTTGGAAGCAGAAGAGAAAGGCTAATGGTGCTGGTGTGGATGGTAGGGCATTTTCTGTGTAGTTAGCTCGTAAGCTCCCATTCCCACCAGTGTGCCCCCTCCCTCCTTTCCAACTCTACACAGACGTCTATGCTACTTTAATGGAAGCATCAATAAATGATGACGTTTCTCAGAAGCAATCACATCAAAGAGTTCACTTCCAGCTATGGGATGCATGCAAGATGCCCTGGCACACTTAAGCGCTCCAGGAAGCTAGCGTGGCGGCTTTACCTCCGTGTATTAACATTACTTCCAGCTGGTGGGAGTAGCCAATTAACACAATGCAATGTGAAACAGCAAGCAATGCCATGATGGAAACTGGCATTCGCAGTGTACTTGTCGGTAACATAGATACAGTAAGATGTGGAAAGAGTAGCATTTTTTTATACTTTCTTTTTATACATGCTAGCAATGGCCTTTTACTGACGTGGGCTTTTAAGGCCATCGGGGACATATTTTGCGTCATTTCTGTCTAAACAAAAATGCTCACTAGATTTGTCGCTCACCAGAGGAGATGTACAGGGCGCAGTTTCATGCATTTTGCATTGCCAGTGGAGTATCATTACAGTGTCACTGGCTGAGGTGGGACAGATGGTCCAATGACTGCAGTTCGGCCTCGCAGTAATCTGCTGCCATCAACAGATCCCACTTAATAACCAAATCCAAATGACCACGGTTGACAGTAATCTCAGAAATTAGTTTTGTTTTGAGGTGTGTTTTGATCCATATTACTGAACTGTAATTAAAGCTACAATTAGGTGTCTTTTATTTAGTGATTTAGATGTTTTTATTTTTTTAGACTAAGGCTCTATACAGTTAGTCATTTCCCACTTTTAAAGCAAAAAGGAGCTCAAGCCAAACAGTATCCACACTGTCTATGACGATATGTGCTGGTCAGTCTATTGCCATACCATGTGTTGAACAGAGAATACGCTGACATCTCAATCATGAGCAAAATTAGCGCAGTGGGAGCAGGTGTCAGGGCGGGGTCCATACTGAGAGAAGGCTGATGATGCAGGGGGGGATGGTGAGGACAGAGGAACCTCTACCACTGGTCTGCTCTACAGCTCAGCAGCCATGGGCCTTTGATCTATGAGTAGATGACTCTCATCACCAGTCTTTATACTTTGAGGGGAATGGGGCTGCTTCAAATGGGACTTTGGGGGATTGGAGGGTGGAGACATAATTTAAATGGAGTGATGAGATTGGTCTGTGAGTTGCCTGTGTGAAAAAGCACGAAGATCTCAACAGCCCTGAACGGCACTCAAACGAAGATTAAGGCAGCTATAGCAGTAACGTCGCTGCATTCCTAAAAACATACATGAAAGAGCAGGGGATCAGTTTGTGCTATGATGAGAGGGCCAGCATTCCCTCTGCCAAATCAATGTGGCCCTGCTGAGGGGGCCTTTGGTCGATTATCTATTGGCAGATGCCTGGATGGGGCAGCCACCTGCTCCTAACGACCACTCTGATGTGAGATACTGACACAAAATAGCTTGAAAATGATGATCTAGCGCATAACATTCCAATCAGCACATTTTCCAGCACAATAACACAGCTCTTGACTTCTATCCTACTTGTTTACAGGATATGAAGACCAGCTGATTGTGAGAAAACTGTTTTTGAGACATACAGAGTTTTATCAGCTGACTAGAGATCTCTAAAAGCCTCAGGCTCAATAGAATCCCTAGGAAGCTCAGTTTTGGACTACGACCTAATCTTATCTGCTGGGTACATTGTGCTTTAATGGTTACACTCAGGCCACGATTTCCATCCTTTAGCTTTACTTCTAATCTTAAACTGTCTGATGTGGTCTTATTTTGTCTGACCCCTAGTACCCACATAGCTGTAATCCCCCCACAGTCCCATCACTGCATTCTCATGGAAAAACATTGGCAGCACTGCACAAATCACTTGCTCACACATTTAGCATTTAGAACAGGTGCCCTGCAGCACAGCTTGAGAGCCCAGATACACCCAGCTTTGCCACAATCCTTTTCTCACACATCGTTTTCATTTCGACCTGTATTTACAGAATGGAAGTTTTTTTTACTGGAAAGAAGTAGACTTTCCCTTTGTTTTTCAGCAAAACGAACACACTCTGAAGGGCAGGTGGAAGTATATTTTTATGTTCATTACGTATTTGGCTACAAATATATTTATGTCCCAGAGGAAATTGTGACTAAAACAGGATTACTGATATTAGATAAGACGATCATAGACACTTTTGTATGTGAATAATGAGGACTTTCATTCTTTGGTCTCTAGTGGATTGCCAGAACGAGATAACACCTCCTACGTCTTTGCAACAGCTCCTCAACAATTTTGCAAATAAGCCTTTTCTTGACCAGTTAAGAGTTTGCAGGCCTTGAGATGCACTGAACGCAGAGAGCCAAGAGGGGCCAGAGTAAACACAGTGATCCAATCAGCAGAGGAAGGGACACTATACTAGGACAAACTGTAGTACTATTGCATAATGTTTTCTATTCTATAAAATGACAGAGCATATTTCAAACAACACATTTTATCTGCCGGCCTGAGTGTAGAGAAGGATATGTGTGGGAGGGTTAGGCAAGAGAATATCTCTCCAGAGGGATTAGAGTAATGATAAACTCTCCACCAGCAGCAAACTCCAAACCCTTCATTACTGTCAACACACACATATGCGTCCGTGAACACATGCACATACACAAACAGGTGTAGACGGCAACTCAGACACACAAAGACGCTATAACACAGACATTTTAGCTAGCCTACAGCTCCAAACAAACGTCGAGTCAATACAAAAAGAGAGACGGACATAGATATGCAGAAACATGGGCTAACATGAATGCATATACACACACCCATTCAAACACACATACATACACCGACCCCCAAAAGCTGGTTGTTACAGCTCCTGAATATTCCACCGCGCTCAGTAAATCTGCATTCGACGGACCATCTCCCCCCACCGTGTCTCCACTCTCCTGGAACAAATACTAAACCGAGCCAAGGGCACCTCCAGGACTGCTTCGGCCAGCAATTTCTCCCCAATTCTCAGATCACCTCCCCAGTGACCGCCTGTCTGACATTCACATATACACAGTGCTAATGACAGCCTTCCAGCCACCCAACTGTATAACTGCCCTGGGGGGGATAGAAATATCTCTCACTCCATGGTCATCGGTGCTCCTGTGTGGAACGGAGGATCAGGCTCGCCTCAGAAAGCAGAAAGCAAAACAGACTTTAACCACAGGGAGTTGGGCATAATGTCACTCAACAGTTTGAAAAGGTTGGGTAACTTTTTGGTCAACGCAACAGGATACAGAAAAAAACTACAGCACATGTTGAAGGATGTGGGATCATTTTATATTTAGAAATGAAATCCATGTGGACTGGATTACAACTAAGCAAGGCTTAATTCAGGTAAACGTCACCCACCTTATAATGACTGGACATTTTGTTTGGTTCAATTTTAACTGCACGAAAATGTGATGTATTCAAAAAACTTCAAGCCATTGTGTTTCTCAAGACAATTGAAAAGATTTGGCACCCTGTACAATTATTTCTACGTGTCCCCAATACACATTGACATACATTTTCTCTATATTCACTATATTGCCAAGAAAAAATCCATTTGATCCTAGAAAATTCTTGAAACAATGAGTCTCCAGACAAATTTTTTCAAGTCTATCCTAACACAGTACTTACATGCCTCTAAGTACATTGAAGCAGTTTCCATACTGTCCGCTAAGAGATGTATGAGATGGGGGACAAAATTCACATTCTTCCCTCTGTGCAAAAACACTTTTTTTCCTGACGAGGAAAGTCTGGGTTAAGATAAATCCGTCACTTAGAATTCCCACTTTTTGTTATTATCCCTCTGCTTTGGCTCAGCAAGAAAAAAATGTCTGGTGGCAGTACAAAGATGGAATTTCAAACTAAAAAGTAATCTGTAATCTGTAATTTTCTGGGATTTATCTAAATCAGACTGCAGAAGCTTCATGTTAGCTCCAGCTGAACTTTGGAGTGATTTTTTGTTCCCATCTATATATCTATGGACAGGAATAAGTTACCTTTTAATGTGCACATGAGCAGTATTGTTTTCAAATTAACATGATAAAAATGCAAATTCTTTATGCTCTTCGCCATTATGGCCAAAGACTTCATATCCTATTTCAAGGTTTTTCAGATCTTTCTTTGGAGTCCCGTTTTAAGATATTAACTTGGCTCAACTGACAGAAAAATAGCCTCGAGCACCTTTAACTTGAATTTAATTGTTTATTTCTAACTGAAAATGCTTGAATCTCCACCAATTCTACCAGCCAATGTTAATTTACTCGTCATGGAGAGTACGACACCTCTTGTTGTTTTGGAGTCTAAGAGGAGTCTAAATCTAAGAGAAAATAACCCGAGTCATGTCACCACCGTTATCTTAGCTTGAGTTTGAAGAATACATATTTTAACTGAAAACATTTGTTACAAACTGGATCTTCCGTGTTTTGCAGCCACCATAGTTTCAACCGCAGATGCTACTCAATCCTGCACACTGGGAGCTAGATGGTTGTGCTAGTTTAAAAAAATCTGGTAACTTTACCCCATATAAACTGTTTTCCTATATAGAAGGACTAAGCTGTTTGCCATTGCATATCCTTCTATGGCCCAGTATTCCAGTGTATCCTATAGTGTATGTATACTAGCACCTGTGTACTAGCAGCTGGCAAGTGCAGCCCTAGTGGAAACACACAAAACTGTCAGTCCTATTCCAATACTTAAATCTGTTACACACACATTAATGCAGGAAAACAAACTCACATTCACACATAGTCCTCCCTCTTTCCTCACACACACAAGAAAACACACACACACACACACACACACAGTGTTACTGTATTATAAATGAGTCTCTTCCATCCTGTTACACTTCAGTGTCGCTGCAGTCAGGGACATAATCACCACAACATACACAGAAACACCTCACTGGCAGTGTTCAACAGTCTGAGCAAGAACATGCTTCTGAGACAGACAGGATTCACATACACACACAGAGATACAATTACAGGGGAGTCTTGCACTGCAGCTGAAAGGATGCTTCTAGCAATTGTGTTGTTTGCACTTCGAATGAGTTTGGTCCATACGCTTGTAGTCGGAGAGGGGAGTGTGTGTGGGTGTATGTGTGTTGGGGGAAGGGAGTGCTTCTGGGTGTGGCCCCTGTGATCATTTATATAGAGACAGATAGATATCTAGATGTCGAGATATTAAAAACTGTGGGGGAAGTGCTAATGATGTGATGATTTTGTGGTGTGGCTGAGTATCACCTGGCATCAGGACATGAGAGGAGCGTAGCCCAGGGGCTTTTCTCCCTCTCCATTATGCCCGTCCCTGAGGTCCACCTCTCCTAATGCCATGCAATGTAGCGCTGACAGCTACCTTCAAAAGCAGCTGCAGGGGTGCACTAAACAGCAATCCCCCCACTGCTCTCCTCTATCTCAGACACACACAAAAAAAACACACTTTGGCTGGCAGAGATACTAAGATACAGCGAACAGCAATGTGAACACAATTGCTTATCCACACACATGCACATTATACACATTTCTATACTGTGAATTACCCTGCTTTTTCTCTTTCAGCTCTCAGCAGCTACCCCTCCTCCTGCCTCCACCCAGCACCCAGAGATAACAGCCTTCCCTTCGGGCAGGCAGGCAGTGGAGGGGACAGCTATGGATATGTTCTGCCTGCTATCTAATGAGCGTCGGAATGTCACTGTGGGCCTGTCTGCTGGTCCCAGCCAGCCAAGCATCCATACATGTGGAATCAGCACAGTCTATCAAACAGCTGGCAGACCGCTCTGCTCCCTGTTTCTCTCTCTCTCTCTCTCTCTCTCTCTCTCCCTTTTTCTTTCTCATTCTCTTCCTATCTGAGCGTCTTCCTCTCTATCTGCCTCACTCTTTCTCCGTATCTACAGTATGTGCCTCTGCCTGTCTATTTCTGATCACAAACAAGCAGAGGCCCAGGTCTGCCTTGCCGGTACGCCTCTTCCCTACCTCCCCCTCGTCCAGCATCATTGACTTAACATAGACATCCCAAATGAAGAATGGAGGCGAGCTCTGCCATAAATAACACACCGCCATCGCCTCCGCCTGGGTAACTGAATGTACTTAGCAAAGGTAATGCAGTGAAATAAGGGAGCGTAATGATGGAGAGCTGCCAGTTATGAAACAGTCGTGTTTTTCATTTTGTGACAAAAGCTGTGGGAGCTTCTTTCTATAACTGTCTTTGTTTCTCTCACTCTCTCTCTCTTTCTTTCTCCAACTCTTCCTCGCAGTCTCTTTCCCTCCCTCTCACTACCTGCCAGGGTAGAGCACTTCTGAGTGTTGTCTACACAGAGGACATCAAATGGCCTGCCTTCACAGAGATGCTGGAGTTGCTGCTCCATGCAGAAGTGTTGCTGTCTCAGCAGCTGTGCAGGGAGATTAGAAGATATCAGCGAGGAGGAGGGAAGAAGAAAAAAAAATGTCGACAAATGATTGTGGTGTTTCTCTGTCCCACAACAACATTGTCACTTTGGAACATTATGTGATCCATGTTGAAATCCTCCTTGTGAAGATTTGAATCTTGCCATGTCTTTGGTTTTGCCACTGATCTGGGAGCCAAAAGCAATTTCCTCTGTTGCTACTTTTGGCTGGGTTACGATAGACATCTCCATCCCTGTGATGGGGCGGTTAACAGCCTCATAATGAGTGTCTGACATCAGATAACAAAGATGTAACACTGGCAAAACAGTGCATACAAAAGTCAAGCACAATGCAGCTCTGACAACTCCATTGCACAGTGCCATTTACTAAATGCCATAGATAACATATTTAGCCTACACACGGCCTTAAAACTGACACTGAAATCTGACTCACTCGTCTATCCATTCATATTTCGCTTATAGGAAGTCTTCAGACTGCTTACACACTCCAGAAGATCACCAACGGGTAAATTCAAGCGAGGGGCCCATTCACACACATCATACATCTCTGAACACGGGGTTTTGTCCCTGCCTAATGTGATTACGCTCAGCCTTGCTATGATTCTTTTCGTGATCCACCCATCTCTCCTGCTCTGCTCTCCCTGCTCACCCCTCTTTTTCATGGGGGGGGGGTGCTAACATTGCCTATTGTTCAGGCAGGTGGCAGTTTCAGGGCCCCCTAAGCTAAGTCCTATTATAGAGGTGCAAACTGCAAATCCACTGCATGCTGCTGCTGACAGTCTCTCACACAGTTGTTCTGCGGACAGTAAGAATCATACACAGGCTTATGGGCTACAGCATTATCACATGATCTGACATTTTCACAAAAAAAGGTCCAGATCAGGCATCTCAGTAGACGGGCTTATCTGTGGATTAGTGGGCTGCATCCTGTTGGTCTTACAAGTTGTTTCAACAACATACTAAAAAGGACAATCACTTTTCATTAAAAGCAGTTTAGTTAGCATTGCTTCACATTCTGCATCATTTGGACATCATTCGGTTTTATCTTCCATCATAGACACAAAAAACAAAAAAAACAAGGAGTGTGTGTTACTGTACCTTGGAAGTGGAAAGCTCTAGACTCGCTGTGGAAGCCCTGGACCTGAGTAACTCCATCAAAGCCTTCTCCAAGCGTTAGTTCATCGAACACGCTGATGCGCAGGGCAGGGTCAACCCCAAAACCTACAACTAATTTGCAAAACACAAAAACAAAGATTGTCACTGTTATTAGCAGGCAAGGACACCTGTGATGCTATAATAAAAACCACTGCTGGTGTCAGGGGAAGAGATGGGAGGTTACTGTACATGCTGCAAGTAGGTCTGATTTTTATTTTTTGTTATGAGAAGCCTGGGTGGTAGATTGTCTAAACCAACACATCATTCAATTATATGTATCTGTACATGCTACATGTTGCAAGAGATGGTTACTGTACAATCAGTGACAGCCCTGTGTCCTACCTGAGGAGGCGCAAATTATGCCGAGAACCAGAAATAGCTGTAATAATCCCATGGTGAATGCATAAAAAAAAAAAATTAGTCCATGTTTTGTCCACTTCCGAGAGACAGTATTGTTCAATCACATGCGAATGATGTATCACCCTCGCGCAGAAGGCTATTTACCAATCCCAAATGCTGAGCGGAGGCATCATCACAACTTTAGGTGGACCAATGCTGCTGCTGCTGCAAAAAAAAGAAGCTAATCCGGATAGGAGAAGAAAAAAAATGTACCAGCACAAATTATTCCATGTAACGCAAGGTCTGCTCCATCAGCAACCGTCCGCGGCACAGGTGGGTAACCGAGGACGCACAAAGCGAGCTGGCGCTGCCTCACCAGCTGAACAGACGCTCCTACAGCAGCGTGAGTGAGAGCTGCGGCCGCTGAAGGAGGAGTGAGGAGAGGGGAGAGGAGAGGAGGGGAGGGAGGAGAAAAACCTGTCGAGGGGGTGGGATAGAAAGAGGGACAATGAAGCCCCCTTGTGGCCGGAGATGAGAAAACCCCTGAATAAATTCCAAACTGGCTGCTCGTATTGATTGCAGCCACGCCTGTTGTCATGGAAATAAAATGATCATCTGGATGCGGGTCGGTAAATTCCTTATAAATTCCTTGTATGTTTCCTGGAAACAGCATTGTGTGATTTGGCAAAATTACTGACAGTGTTCAGTCGTCCAGTTAAATGCTAAAGTAGTGCACAGCAGTTAAGCAGAGCATGTAAATGTGTGATGATTGTCTACAGGTAAGCATTTAATCTCTGACTCTGTTTTGAATTAAGTTAAAATCTAATTTCTTTTTAAATTAACAATTTCAATGAAACTCATCTAATTTAACTAAAATAACAGTGTCTATTAAACTATGATTAGTAACATTACAGGAGGTCAGCACCTGTCCTGCACTACCAGGGAAGGACCAGGTCAGATCCACCCTGCTCAGAATTGACATCAGCAAAGTGACTGGACCAGATAGAGTCTCTGAACTGAAAGCCTGTGCAGACCATCTAGCAGAGGTATTCTATAACATCTTTAATCATTCACTGGAGCTGCCTTAAGCCAGCTACAATTATTCCATTGCCCAAGAGGGCAGCAGTGAACTGTCTGCTGCCCATTTGCTTGAACCCCCACCATCACCAAGTGTTTTGAGAGACTGTTTCTCTCCCATGTTGAGGCTGCCGTCCATGCTGATTTTGATCAACATCAGTTTGCATATTGGATCAATAGATTAACAGATGATGCAGTCATAAAAGCTCACACAGTACTTACATATCTGGTACAGCAGATCATATATGTAAGGATGCTGTTTATTTTTGCTCATTTTTTCATACAAAAATCTCCCACAAATTGGTCCCAAAACTGTCTGATCCAGACTTAAACAGTTCACTGTGCTCATGGATACTGCATTGTCTAAGAAACAGACCCCAAAATGTCAGAAAGTGTGTTGGTTTGTAGTCCATTTTAGGAGTCAACCACACACAACCGCACACACAGTCGAAGGTCACCAATGTTGGATTCCAATCTGCTTTGCCACTGGAAGCAAAGGTTTGTTTCGCCCCCGAATGGAAGTGAACATTTGCGTGTTGATTTTGCATAAGTGTCATCATGCCCGAACACATGAGCACCACAGGGATGTGTCATGAGCCCTCTTCTCTACTCACTCTTTACACATGACTGTTCATTCACCCCTCCAACACCAATGTCAAATTTGCACACAACAGCAGGATGAATAACAAACAAAAAGTTTCAGTGTAATTGTATCATATACAAACTTTGTTTAAAGTCTAAAGTACGTCTTTATAACATAATATTCATAATTACATTTGAAGTTAACAATTACATTTAGGTGGAAACATTTGAACTTACTTACTTATAGACAAGGCAGACATCCCATCAGGAAAGCCACAGGTGTAATTAATAACTTAATTTGTGGCTGTATCCCATGCAGGTTTACCAGTTTCACTGCCTGCTGGCTCTTTGCCTGCTTTTGTTTTTGATTAAAATATGAGCTTTACAGAGAGAAGAAAAGTATTGATAGTGTCAGCAGGAAAACGGTTATGGTCTGTGCTGAATAAAGTGAAATTGTGTCAAAACTTGATGATTCAATGGACGGCTCAATTTTATTTTATGCTGCAGTATGGGCTTTTAAGGATGGCCTTGACATTAATGCTATCCAGAGCTGTGATGCTTTTCTGGGGTTCATGTTGTGATGGAGAGCAGCATCTATGTGTTTTTTGTCATCTTGGTGTTGTTGAGGGTGAATTACATGTCATGCACAGTGACTTGAGGAATCATCTGTTTTAAAAAAGAAAATCAGTTGAAGAATCCTGATTTGTTTTAGTTGTCTGAAATATGTTGAGTTGGCTCTTTAATGAGGAGATTGTTGTCTTGGTAAGACTTGTAATGTCATGTCTTGAAACATTCTCCTTGGTTGTTGTTGGTATTTTGTAAACCTATATGAGGGTTTCGGTGCAGGAAACTCAAATAAACAAATCAATCAGCCAATGTATGTGTCATACCCGCTCTACTTTCTGAGCCACAGCCACCCCACTTCGTAAGACTGTGGCGGCGGCTTGTGTTTACTGAGGGAGTGGGTGCACTTCTAGGGAGTCAGCCGTATTGAACCGCCATATTTCTACAGTAGCCCACAATGGACCCACCAAACAATAGCGTGTTTTGCGTCCACTGTAGTTTCTTCTACATTCTTGGTTAGGCAAATGGTTACAGTTAGTTGCAATCTGCGATCTCGCCACTAAATGCTACACACTGGTCCTTTAAAAGTGGGGTATGCATTATGAGCAGCAGACAAGTGGTGTTGCAGCCTCCCCTTCCTCCTCTGTTCAGGAATGTTTGTTCCAGTTTGACATAGATGGCCTGCTTTACTCTTTCAAAACCATCTGTCTGCTTTGTCATCATATGAAGAATAGAGTTTAACAGAGAAAATACCAACTATTTCAAAGCACAAAGTTTAGCAGAGTGGCATAAATGCTTGGATTGCCCTACGGTCCAGAGATATGACCTCCTGTATGCATACAGTTTCGTGCTTTCAATTAATTAAGTCGTCTAGTAAAGTTGAAGTTTGGCAGGTGGTTTGAAAATGAATTAAACTGGAGTGCTGGTCTGTCTGTGTGACTCAGTCTTGTCAATGCCTTTTTATAGAGCACAGATGCTTTGTGCTTTGAATTTTTCTTTATTCATCATGCATTTTCTTCATCCATGGGACCAATTACTATGTTGAAAGGTAACTGTTTTATCAGCAGCCATGCCATGCTGGTGATGTTTTTAAAGAGGAGGATAAACAGTTATATTTTCCCTGAATCCTATTAAATGTCCTACCAGATGGACATCAAAGCCTTTTCATAGCGACCAGTTCAGAGGCGATCCCAAGTCCACAACAAACTCCAATGAATCCCTAGATTGCTGGGAAAGTCAGTAGACAGTAAATATGATTATAAGGACTGTTCCAGATCCTGTGTGGCGCTCAGCTCCTTTCTAAGGACCCGAGATTAACACAAACATATTTAAATCTCTTTCCCCTTCTATACAGTATTGACTAAAGCCAATAAAATGTTTTGTTTAATTATGATTCATGCCAAACGGAAGTGTTTTGACAAATAGGTCCTTATCTGTCCCTAGTTCAGATAGCTTCATAGGTTGACAGTGTGCAGCTAATGGGTCGCTATTGTCAATAAAACAAAAGCAGGCAATGGCTCCCCATGCAGTGTCACATCTGCTGTGTGAGAGGGCCTCCAACCCTCTATTCATTATTAATAATACTAGATTTCTTCTGGGTGCAGACACAGGAAATGTAATTACTTTGTATTGCCCACAAGTTGTCATTTCCTAAAGTGCCATCAGGAAAATAAGAGTCATTAAAGCATGTGCCCAGCCAAGAATGAAAAGTAATAAATGCACACAGTGCCAACACACACCTATTCTCCTGCTGTGCACGCACACACACACACACACACACACACACACACCAAATCTCTCAGGGCAAGGGCAGTGGAACAGTAGTCCTTTTGTTCATCTCTAAAAGATCCAGATGGTTGCTGCATTACAAAGCTCTCAGGAGCTTATTCACTTTGGTCATAAATGCACCATATAGACATACTAATGACATGGACAGAGGGAATTGCTCACAGTAGCTATGGCACGATTTGAATCAGCTTCAGAAAAACTGTCCCGATTCTTCCCACAGGGCTCTCCTGAGATTCATTTGTTGCATAATTCCATGTTATATTGATCGTGCCCGTTTTTCAAATCTGACATTCATGAGTAATATTAAAAACTGTACGTTCTAATGGTTTATTACATCCCCTCTGCTTTATAATGTGTTTGATATTCAGACACATTGCTTTGACATTTTATGATAAATTTGAATATAAAGAAAAGTATGACTTAAGTGAAGCTGATAACAGAGAGTCTGTAGATTCAACAACTGCCTACATTACAATTCAAAGTATGGGTAGTGTCACATAACAGCCACCAGTTGTATATCATTTTGCATTGAGTTGCATATTCAGGTATTTGATGTTCCTATTGTGATAGAGACAGCAAGAAATAAAATAAAATATATAGTATAAGAAAACTAAAATGTTCCAATAAACAATATAACCACAAAAGCCAGAAAGCTTTGTTTCATTCACTGCACTGAAATAAAGATGGTTCTCATTCTCTCAGTGCCATCTTGTGTGCATGGCAGTGGATTGCAGCGGTAGTATCAGAGTGTAGCAGTACTGAGGTAAAACAGACAGTGTCACTCTTGGACTATCCCAGGGCTAAATACTTGGCCTAACATATGGGAAGCAGAAGGTTACTGCAGGGATAAGATAAAGGGTGAGAGAATTAAAAAATAAACTGTACTTCACACTCCTTCACAGGTTGAATTGTTAGTGGGGCTGAGAAAGGGTTTGTCTTTACCCTGACTGTAATGACATCTGTTTGGACATATTAAGCAGTATCCTCCTGGATATTATATTTGGATTTTAGAGATGGTATGATATTATCATTAATATTAACGTATCTTACATAATGTCTGACGTGTGGCAACAGACACGTGTTGTTTGGCTCTAAATGTTTCATTACATTATACGTCTGTGTGTATTAGCAATGCTTACGAGCAGTTTCCAAATGTCAGTGGAGCAATAAAGTTGCAGCTTTGTGGAGCTCAGAATGTGTAGCTTTTGTTGATACTGTGTCACAATGATAGAAACATCATGATAGAATATTTTACAATATGAGGCAACAATGTTTTGTCAATTAATTGTGAAATTAATCCTTTTTAATTCAATCAGTTCTTTCAGTTTCAATCAATTATTAGCAACCCAAAAAGAAATTGTGGTCAGGGACAACTGATGAAGTTTTTAATTTTTTTTTTTTGCTGGTCAATTAGTCTTGTCCCTCACAAATAAACTATTAAAAATGTAAAAATCAAACATAAAATATCTGGTTAAATATCCATGTTACCACTGCTGACTGTTTTTCTTGCAAAATTAATCTTTTCTTTTTGTCCACAAGCACCAACAATTCAGACACCAAAAATTGGGAGTCTTCTTAATAATTAAGTAATTTCCTTGAAAATGTACATTAGTTTTACTTCAACATTCTCCAGAGACTGTATGCTGAAGTAATTTTTTGTTTTTCTTAACCTTACTACCGCACGACCCCCCAAGTGACTGGGCAGGCTTACGTCATTGGTTTGCAAAAGCTCCATTTTCTCCACTAAAATAACAAGCTGGCATTTAGACATTTAACCACTCTGGACACTGGAAGGGCTCCCTTTTTGGGTGAGAAAAAACACCAGCTTAGTATGGGCAAGAGGTGAAACTGAGTTAAAAAAAATTGTTTTTAAATGTAACCGGCTTACTATGGAAGTACTCTTATCTGAGACATGGTTATACGTATGTTGATCTTTTATAGACTGTCAATGCAGTGCGGTTGCTCCACACAGCCACTCCCATTCCCCCTGGAACCTATTGTGAATGTGTGCAGTGAGCTGGCTCATTGGGCCCTCATGGTGAATGGCCCACAGCCATTCACTCAGCATACAGAAGCTCATTAGAACTCTATAGACACACAATTGTGAGACTCACATTAGAAACTTCCTCCTCTGGGGCACAGACACCGCACACAAAGTGCCAGTTTGCTGCTAAGCTAAGCTCATTGTCTTCCTGATTCATAGAGCCTGGCCCTCTATTCACGATATTAAGTTCGAGTGGTGGAATATCAATTGCGTGTCCAATGGGCCGGTATCTTTTTAAGAGCTTTAGTGGGGTTAAGAAATAGAGAAAAGGCATCTCAGCCGGTCTGCAGAGTGCTAGCTTTCAACAGGGCCATTGTGAGGATTCTGAATGAAGGGACCCCTGTTTTTTCCCTCCATTTCTAAAAAGTGATGGACATCAAATAAATTCACATGAACTTGCTTCAGGGTGTTTCCAAGACCCACTGTTTAAGAATAGCCTAATTATACCTCCCTCTCCTGGAGAGCTCTATTGGAATCTGGCTAATTACGAAGTGGTGAATCTTAATGATGATACGCTCTTAGCGATGCCTTTTAAAATGTGCACAAAGTTGTGTGAGATTGGTTCTACCTAAAATATCAATGAACACAGAGAAATACATGGTTTAATAAAAAATACATGATGCTGTCAGGAGTGTTGTTAGTTTTGAGATGCTTGTAAAAACTTTTTAAATTGCCATAGTTTTGCTGGAAGGCAAATTCAAGTGGAAAGAAAGTGTGACTGTATGAATAAACTAAACAAATTTTCCTTAATGTTATCACATAAAAAATACCTTGACCATAATCCGGGTCCATTCAAAGTATATACAAATACAGTTAATAACAGTACTGGAGAACAGTCTGGGGTTCCCTTCTTCCCTGGGGTTCTTGATTTCTCTCTGTGTCATATAAACAAATGGCTCTCCACCAAACAAAAAGCCTTGGGGGACTATCACAGCCACTGGTCTATGAAGCATGTTAACACACTCTCACTGCACAAAAGTAGATAGTGCACACAGACTTGCTAACACTCATCATGTGACAGAGTGCTATGCCTTCTCCACCAGTCTGAGGAATAAAACCTCAAATTTGATTACAAGCAACCTTTGGCTCCCTGGCCATCACACAATAGGCTGAGCTGTCTGGGCCAATTTCCATGCTCAGCATGAGGTATCTACACGCGCAGACTGGAACTCCCTGCCACCCCCACACCACACCACCCGACCAGTGTGGATATGCCTGTTTACTGTGCCTAAACTCCGGGTCTGTCGCCCCTCTTGTTGGACTTTCTATTATGATGTTGGGGATCATTAGTTGCAGTGTGAAAGGTTACACAAGCCTCTCATTGGATGTGTTTGTACCACAACATCACTACATGCATGGGTGTGTGTTTGTGGGACCATTTTTTATTTTACAGTTGCAATGTTATATGTAACATATGCCCCCACTACACACAAGACTGGCACTGAATAAATATTTAAATGGTTGAGGCTACAGCCTGTGGAGCTGCATGGATCACTCTTTGCTTTCCTACAACTGAATCATTCCAAGTAATGTAAATGTAAAATAAAAGTTGACTGACTGGCGAATAAATTACCCCAAATGTTAGCAAAACTGAACAAGTAACAGTGAGAAAGGTTGTCTTAAATTACATGCTGTTTTTAAATATACAACAATACTGTCATGTTAAAGAAAAAATTCTAAATAACAGCACAAGCAGAATGTTATATGGAACTACAATTCTTTCCAACTATACCAATCATGCAATTGCATACAACTGAACAAAGTAATTTAAACATAAGGTAAATACCAAATTGATTGAGAAATCAAACTTCCTTTACAAAGATAATTTAAGTAATCTTGTAAGGCAATCTAAGATGGCATTAGGTGGTGTTATTCTTAAGAAAAAAAGATCAGAAGACATCTAAAAAAATTTATTTCATTATTCGTCAACCCATACTAACATGACCTGCTTTTGAATCATTTTGCAATCAAGAAAACCTTACTGAGAAATGTTTCCGAAATGAAACTGAAGAAAAAGCACATTGCAAATGAACTGCTGAGGCGTTTGTATGAGGCACAATGGGAGGCAGGAGAAAAGAGAAAACTATTTACTACTGGAGAAGACTGTTTGGTGCATGTTAAACTTTGGCCAGCAGTTCATTGTCTCTGGTGTCTATCATTTAATAGGCTAGTTGACATAATGAATGAGCCAGACCCACCTTCTGCCACTCTAGAAAGGACCGCAGCCTTATCTGAATTGAGAAGCACATTAGAGCCTCTCAGCCAATCACGACACAGCCCCTTAGCAAAGTGCAGGCCCGAAAGAGGAAGAGCAGAAAACCTTTGTTTTCCTCAGAGTTTAATGAAGTTGGCCTGGTCACTCAAGAGGGGATTAAAGGAGAATTTAGTGTCACTGAGCTGTGACTGCTGAAGAGGGAACTCAAGTGTTCGGGTCAGTGTGTGAACAGGATGGTCTCAGTTCAGAGCTGCACCAGGAGGAATATGGCTGGCTCTCCTCCTCCTTTACCGGGCTTCGGGAATTCGGGAAAGAGTTTTCTTATTGACAATCTGCTGCAGTCACAGACACCTTCGGCCTGTCCGGAAGGGACACTAGGTGGACACCTGAGACTAGCAGCATGTGAACGTCCAAGGAGAACCTGGGGCTCTGAGCACGGAGTCTACCAAAGCCAGGTCCACAGTCCCCAGCAGGTGAAAGACTTAGGACAACTTCTGCCACACTCAGGTAAACACATTTTTTTTACAAGGAGACTTAAACAAAATATATTACATTTAGATTATGTCAAGGGTTACCAAGTTATGACATGATATCAAAGCTACACTTTGACTTAATGACAGGAATTTTAGTTTTTTCTTTCACAAATGTTTTATTTCTTCTTTCTAACTGGTTAAATTCATGAAAAAGAAGAATATTGTTTAACTTGTCAATTTTCAAACATTCTCAATTTTTCAGGCAGGAAATTAGTTATAGGTCAAAAGTCTTTGAAAGATTAGATATTATATAAGATTATGTATTAGATGCATCTTTTTAAAATGCAATGCAAACACCGGCTTTTTTTTTTTATTTAAACATAAAATAATTTAATCAAGAAAGACTATTAACCATTGAAAATTCCCTGCTTTGCTTTAGCAAATATTTCTTGATCACTTTACTGGATATTAGTAAAATAAAGAATTTAAACGCCTATTTTATAACTTCAATTATGAACTATATTTTAAAGTGTTAATATAGGTCTGTGTAGACATGTATGTGCTAAATGGGACAATCTCACTTAAGAAACACATTTTAAATGATTGAGTAATTTGAATGCGATAATATAAATATAATATAAAAAAACATAAGTAACAAAAAACATTTTATAACCTTTATATTTAAAACAAATTACTTTTTTATTATTAATTGATTATTGACTTTTGATGAGAAATTACAATGACTGCAAAGAAAAATCTAACATTTAAAATGTAATAATTATAAACCTGTGCCAACACAATCAATTAATAGAACCAACTTTTATATTTCAAACTGAATTAGTAAATACTTCTTGTCTTTTAGATGGGTAGTTTTCAAATAACATTTAGCTGCTAAAACACCTTATATAAATAATAATTGCTTCATCTCAATGCATCACCTAAAGCTTAGCACTACTATAAAAATGAAGATAAAAGGAAAACTGTACCAACTGGACAAGGTAGGACTCCAGATGTAGATCCCAGTATACTGTGGGCCACCTGTCACACCTTACTACAAGACTGACTGATCCTATCAATTTTTGCAGGTGTACTGAGCAGTGTTTTCCTTCGGAGCCCACAGTATCTGCTGGCATGCTGTGGTGGGTCCAGCCCCCCTCCTGTCTTCTCCAGTAAGTGTTTTATGCCTCATCAGCAATGCCTGAGCTACTCTCTAAGCATTAGCAGCAGGGTCTCTCATGCTCTCCACAGCTAATTACGGATGCAATGCCAAAGAGCTAATTCTCCGCTCAACTCTGCACAGCTCTATTCATAACCATTCACGGCTGTTTAGGACGGGGAAGAGGGGTGGGTTGCAAGGCCTTTAAGAGTCCCTGGGGCCCCCCATTTTGTACTTGCAAATACACACTTTTAGTAGCGCAAATATGCAGAGCTAATAAACATCTTGTCTTCTGTCATATTAAGATTATAATTACCAGGTGTGGATTCTTACTGCTGAAAGAGGCAGATTGTTTTAAAACTTAGCGCTCCCTCAGCACATTAATAAGTTTGGCTGTGAATCCCAGCATCTTCAAGTTAAATTTTCACACTGCATACAAAATGAAAACCTGTGATTGCATCTGAAATGTTTTTAGTTAATTGTGCTTGAAATGTTTCAGTTCATATCATTTAAAATGTGTGTAGACTACTAGTACTTTATTGTGCTCTAGTAGTACTAATTAAGACTAGCAGCTGTCATTTTGGCATTTTGGCATTGTCCCACAGCAATTGGAAGTTATTAGTTGCTGGAACCTATGATGCCTGTCAAATGTTGTAGAAAATAGCATAAATCAGAAAGCCTTCATCCCACATGTCCCTGGAGTCCTCTTAGTAGGCTGACACTTTCCCACAGTGCCCAGCAACACAACAATGCCAGGTCTGGCTGTGACCAATTGGCACTTTCACTCCACCATCCACACGCGACCTCACTGCAATTTTTCACTGCAGCAATGAACTCCGCTTAGCACAAAAAACTTGCCCATTTCTCTACAGAAGAGGGCGGGACCAGGAACATCCCCCAGCCATTGTGTGGCTAAAGAGCTTGGTTTGCCGACCCCCCTTCTTTCTCCTGTCCTTCAACTCTCATTCCTGCCCATTGGAGACTTCTTGACTAGGACATAAAGCATTCAATGAAAGTGACTTTTATAGACTTATTCGAGCTCATCTTCACATACAAACTAGCTTCATACCTGCAAGTGAAAAGATTTAGTGTTGGGCCAGTGAGCCATCGAGTAATGGCATTTCCATTGAACGGCTCTATTGTTGGTGTCACCCAGGGCTCCAGAGTTGGCCCACTAGGGTAGACACACACGTTGCCCAGGAATGACCTGGTAATCAGCTATTTAAGTGAAAGCCATTGAGTCCCAATAGAGGAGTGAGAAGCATGTCCAAACCTGTTATGTGCTCCCTAGAGGTGGTCTATGTGCAGATTTGTCGTACAGATTAAAAAGGCAACGTTGAATGGATCAGATAAATTGTTTCACTTGACTTTTGTTGTGAGTGCACCTGTGAGTGAAGTAGCGTGGGATTGCCTCTCACACTTCATCAAATTCCTTTTTCTCAGTTGAAGGGGCTTTCTATTCTCTTTAGTCACCCCCAGTTTGTTAAATTGGACAAACAGAAAAAAAGAAATCAAAAGTTAGTGATAAAGTGAGTGTGACAGAAACAGGCATGATCTTGGAGGAAGGAAATGCGGTATGGTTGGTAAAGTGTATATTGATTGTGGACACAGTTGGATTTTGTACTTTTAAATTAAAACTGTCAACACCATGAAACACTTGTTATTCATGAAACACAAATTATTCATAGCCATCTTAGCCAATGAATTCATCTCAATTTACTACACACAACTTGTTTTTTTCCCTGGCTGGTACTTCCCTAAGCTACACTTTTTTTTTTTTTTACAATTGTGCCCACGGTCCACAGTCCACCAATGACAATTACTAATCAATGACCCATATCTCACAGATGTTGACATAGTTACCTGGGTCAACAATTTAACATATGTTGTTGTTTTTTTTCAATTTGTGTTTCAGAGGGAGCAAATATTCAAATGTGGTCTGCTGATGTAAGTCCTAAATCACGCAGAGGGATCCTTAGAAGGGCTGTGTTCTCTGAAGAACAACGGAAGGAGCTGGAGAGAACTTTTCGGAGACAAAAATACATCAGCAAGACAGACCGGAACAAACTGGCAGCTGATCTCAGCCTCAAAGAATCACAGGTAATTGAGTATGAATTACAATTTTGCCTGATTAATCTCTGATTCTAAAAGAGATCAAGCACAAACAACATAACCTCCTGCAACTGCAATCCTTGTTGAACAAATCCTAAATCTAAATTAACCCTAAAACCTACTCAGCATCATTTGTATTGAACAAATTGAAATTTTGACCTGATGATTATGGTAGATGGAAACTCAGGGGATCACCAAAGTCATTACAGTTATTCATCATTTTAAGGAGGAAATGAATGTCTGTACCAAATTTCATGGAAATCCATCACAGTTGTTGAGACATTTCACACAACTACAAATGCAAACCTCATTGTGGTGCTAGTCAGAAGCCACATTTCTACCCAAAGTGCCTTTACAACTTTGGGGCAGTTGTGGCTCAGGAGGTAGAGCAGGTCATCGACTAATCAAAAGGTTGACAGTTTGATCCCCAACTCCTCCCGCTGCATGTCAAAGTGTCCTTAAGCAAGATACTGAACCCCAAAATTAAAAAAACAATAATAATCTTGCAGATTATATTTTTGACATCGTGTCGCAGGCCGGAAATGGTCAGAGCCGACAGTTTGAGACCCCTGTACTAGAGGTAGAGTCAGTGGGATTCTTCCTCTGGGCACCAACAAGAATGTGGTGGACAGACAGACATACATTCCCACCCCTAGAGCTACGACTGGGATGGCTTGAAAAAAAGAATGGACTAAACAAATTGAACTAAAATGCCTCTCCATTCTCCTGCTGGTTTAGGTAAAGATTTGGTTCCAGAATCGTCGAATGAAGTGGAGGAACTGTAAGGAGAAGGAGGTTCATAACAGTCGCTCCCCAATGGACGAGCTCATGGCCCAAGGTCTCGCTCAGGAAGAGGAAGAATCATCACAGAATCACACTGATGCAAAAACAGAGCGATCGCCACCACAGAAGAGTGTCAGGGACACATGAGAGTATGTGAGAGAAAAAATAAACTGATGACTCTCAAATTCACAAAAAACTTGTAAAAAGGCTTCAGTATTGGGAGGGAGTTAAAAATGTGGGATGGAATACACTATCTATGAAGACTAACACTGATAACATTCACTTTTCAATGCATGTAACTGTTTTGCTGCATTATAAATGTAATTAGGTTCAACTGCTCGTTCAATCATCTTATTGCATTTCATTGGCTTCAGTAAGCAATTTATTGGTACACTGACTAGACTTTCCAGGAAAAAATACCACTCATCAATTTTAATTGCAATCAGTTAAAGGCACAAATGAGTCACGTCATTTAATTAATTACATATCTTCCTTTTTTTTTTTTTACTTTTCATGTTTTGGTGAGATCTGGTCAGACACAAATACTCTGCACACAATCAAAAACCTTTTTGAAGTTAAATTTCACCTGGTATATTTTGTAAATATTTCTGTCATGATCTTGAATGCATAGATCAATTGTAAATAAAGTGTTTGAATGAATCCTGATTTCCACATTGCTTATTTTACTGTGTTGGGTTCTCTGGAGCAAAGCATTTACATGGTAATGAACACTCTATTATACACCATCTACCGTTTCTATAAATATGTAGATCCTGTGCTCTCCATTAACAAGAAGATGACCAAAAACAATAAAAGGGTTACTTAATTTTAATTTTTTGACCATTTCATGTTCAAAGCTCAAAAGTGAAATAATTTAATCATCCTAACAATAATATGTCAAGAGGCAATCCTCTAAAAAGAAAGCACACAAGAAATGCATTACAAAGGATGTAAGCACAGACAGTAAGAGCATGGTGTGTAGTTAAAAGCAAATGAGAAACAAAACTGTTTTCTAGTCTAACAAAATTTTAAAATACTACACTAGACTTCTTTGCTATCACTATTAACAGTCCAGCCCAGGTAGGGTGGTGCATTTCAGGATACGGAGATAATTTTTGACCTTGTTGGAGTCTCTGCGGAAGCAGTACAGTAGGTCATGATGGTCCATTGAGTTAAGTTCTCCTTGTGTGTAGGAGGAAAGGGCAGAAGAAGGGACCAAACTCTCAGGAGAGATGTTACCCACGGTGTTACCAAGCACTCCGAATAGCTTCATCTGAGGATGGACAGCATAAAAAAATGATGGTAGAAAGGAATGCATGAAGACGCATTCACTGTCACAGAAACAAAATTAGATTGTGAAAAGTGAATATAGATAGATTATTATAATCTAATAATTATAATATTATTATTATTATTATAGAAAGTATTATGTATGTATATAATATATAAAATGAACAGTAGCTACAGTAGTGCTAGATTCCAACTAGAATGTGATACATTGCAAATAACCAAGCATATTCAAACATTATAATACATAAATCCAATCACTGTTAAATATGGCCACACAACATATCTACAATTTCAGAAATGATAAGTGAATCCTTACCTTCTCTGTCATTTTTGCCACTCCATCCCTCAGTTCATGAACCATATCACTTATCTCCAGTGCCTTGCTAGAGCTGTAGTGGTTGAAGTCTTGATTTTGATCCTGAGACATGCTCTGGTAGAGTTGAGACATGGGGTCACCCCAGGCCCCCAGCAGCCTCAGGATCACCTCTGTCAGTTGTTCTCTCTGCACATGAAAGAATTGCTTAAATAACTTAAGATTGTTATTATAATTATTAATTAAAAAAAAGTAGCTGGCAAAAGCTGCAGTGATGCCACTTATGTGCATGAGTAGCTATGACCACAAAAATGAATGCTCACCCCAAGCCTTTGTGCATTCTCCTTATCATCTGGTGTTAGTATACCATATGTGTGGCACTTCCTTTTTCCTATGAGATTCTTGCTGGGAAAGAAATATTGCTCCTGCAAAGATGGACACACATATCACACATAGTAATAGCAGGGCTTGATAGCCAATTCAAAGGGTGACTGATGATGATGAATGGAGGTCAAAAGTGTGGTGAATAGTGATGGATGATCAATGTCAGAGCTGAAAAGAAGAACTCACAAATTCAGAGTGCAGATCACTGGAGATACCATGCATTCTTGAAGACTGTTGTATGACCCTGTCAAAGAGATCAGCCAGGGTAGGAACATGGCATCCAGCCTGTCCATAGGCACAAATTGGGGCAGTTCCAACCCTCATGGAAAGCTCCAGGCATAGCAGTGTTAGGATAGCAAACCAAACTGAGGGGAAAAACTAGTCACTTAAAAACTATACGAATAAATATAAATAAAAACGTTGTACTTAATTTGTCATGTTGCCAACTTACCGTTTTTCATGGTTCCTCTCTTGCAGCGGAGCACCAAATGAGTAGAGCACTTTTTGCACCAGAGCTACTCTTGCTGAAGCAAACTCAAACAGTGAGGACGTTGCTGATTAAACAAATTGGTTTTGTTCGGGATAAAAAAGTGCTTTTTCTCTTTGCACGTCATACAGTATGCTTCACTTAGTTATCTGCTCAGCCGAGAGCAGACAAAGCTAACCCAGGCAGAAAAGGTAGCACACGATACACAATATGTCAGTTTCTAATGAACATTAGTGTATGGGATAAATGAAAACTTTTATTTTGTTGTGCTGAGCTCTGCAGCATTCTTATGTGTATTAAGAAAAAAAATTGACTACAAATTAAATGAACTGATCCTATTAGAAGTATAAATGGATGTACAGTAATTTTGTAACAACTAACACTGTTATAAACCCAAACATTGGAAATAATTAGCCAAATTTGGGCAACTAAGAATATTCAAATCACTTTAAAGCACTCAACATTTTAGCATTTATTTTAAACTACGAGAAAGCTGATTAGGAGCACAACATAAAAATGAATAGTATCACAAAAAAGTATAGAACAAGCCCATTGTTCAACAACCTCAGCTAGAACTGTTCAGCTTGGTAGTGAAAACGAGCCAATTCAAATGTAAAGTGAGTGATTTATCTCACTAGTGCTTCATTGTATAATTAATTCCACAGGCCATCTACAGCGAATACTGTTATGAGTCATTCTTGCCAGTTTTACTTCTTATCCAAAGCAACTTATCAGATTATGGAATGTAATGATAGAAAGTCAAGTTTTCAACCCACATGGAAGGAATGCACACCTTCAATTTTTACTTTAATATTATTTTATACCCTTTTTAAAACCTGCAATGAAAAGGGACTACAAATCAGTGTTTTGTTTCTCCATTAGCGTGCCCCCTTGTGGTGAAATGAGTGATAACATAAAGAGGGCAACAGAGGATGATCTTATTCATGACTCTTACCCATGGCTGCAAGAGTTTCACTGTGTGCTTGCCACAGGATAAGGTCTGAATAGTATACGTTACATATTAAAAAAACTCAGCAAGTGTATTTTCTCAGAACAAATATTTTATTGTCATCTTTTTCCACATAACATGCACATAAAAAAGATGTCATAAATATACCACAATATAATCTACAATCAATTTACATTTATTAATACTATGTACAAGTTTGAGTGCATTCTATGACTGTGCTGTCAGAGCAGGGATGAGGTGAGTGAGCTTTTGAGGGAGGCAAAAGGGTATTATTGTCTGAGTCCAGCTCTGTTCTCATATCCATTTAGCTTACTTTACAAATTCTCACTAACACCCAATGCCAAGAAACTTCCCATCTCAAAATGTCTTGTGTTTGTCTTAAATCATGTGATTCTACACTTAAGAAACAGACTCGGAGCTCCACTTTTTACATGCAAGTATCAGTCCGTTCAACATCTGTGGTGCTTCCACTTGCGAGTGGCCACTGCAATGTTTGAGTCTTTTTTGTGCCATGGGAAGAGACGAGTGAGAGCAAGGGTGCCATCAGGCTGCACGGAACCAGTCAGCACATAGAGCTGTGACCGTCCGGGGCGCACGAGGGCATTGGCACATCGAAGGTTGATGAGGAGCCACTGCTGGAGTAGGTGCTGGGTGTCGTAAGGCAGCAGGGGTCCCTGGCGGACAAACTCAACCCGGCCCTCAACCTCAAATTCAGGCTCTCCCCCAGGTAGCCGACGACGATGAAGTTTGGCGGTCACGGCTGCGTAGAGGAGAAAGAAAATTAATCATCTGGTTTGGAAAATTAAATTGAACAATTTTGAGAAAACATGCCCAGATAGGACACAACAAACAACACAGCTTATTGAAAACTTACCAAAGTCATGCTCGCAAAAAGCATCCAGGACTGTTTTCATTGCAGGAGCCTCTTCCACAGAGGGACAGTTTTGGCAGGCAGGTTTGGGCAAGTCTGTGATAACAAATAAAACATAATTTAATAAAACTGTAGCAAAGCACTTGGTAGTCCCTTCTGCCAATGATGAAGTAAAAAAAGAAAGAGTTCTAATAGTCTGTGATCAATGCGTACCTTTGGAAAAGTGGCTGAATTTTGCATGTGGAGAAAGGCACGTTTCGTCCTCGGTAGGAAAGCGGTCACAATTCAGTGCCTCGGGCCACATGTGACCCTGGCAGGCGAGCACCGGGGCACAGCTGTCCCTAACTGCCACACAGAGACTACGGCATGGCTGGATAAACCTGAAGGGGGAAAAAAAAGACAAAATGTTACACAATGAACACAAAATACACTGCAATAATGATAAAGTTCTAAACATACAGTCAGTGATTTCACAGAGAGCAAAAAAGAACAAGAACTGTAAAATCTCCTTACGTGTCAAGACAGACGGGGGCAATGAGGGAGCAGAGGAAGGCCTGGGCTTGAGGGTGGCAGCCTGTCTGCAACAGGGGCCGCCAGTCCTCGGAACGCGGCACCACCTCGCCTTCCAGGTTGCTGTGACCCAAGAAGTTGGGCAGCCGCATCTCAGAGTACCCGACATCTTTGCAGACCTTCATCTGGTTGGGGATAGTGACGCAACGAGTGGACTGACCCATGTCAAATGCCATTGCAGAACAGGCCATAGCCAGGAGAGCCACGGTGAAGAAAACAGCCATTCTGAAGGGTTTGCAAAAAATCCACAGCTTTTACTGAGTGTGCTTGTCGTCCTGAGTCTCTGCTGTCCTTGAATGGCTTTGTGGCTGCTGCCGCTTGCTTTATATACAGCAAGGTCAGCCAGCCCCATCAGCCTGTAAGTCTGTTATCAACTACCTATCAAAGACGCAGAGACGATGTGTTTGGAGACAACGGCTTGTTTTGTGATG